TTGTGTTTTTATGATAATATATTAGTAATAAATATTCTAATTGATCTGTTGGATAAATGAAACCATATTTTTTCATTTCAATATCATTTTCATTATCTTCGAATTGGGCTACAAAATAGAAAAAATATATTTATTAAGTTTATAAATTAATATAACATGCAAATAACAAGAATATATAAATAGATACTTACTTGCAGAAATAATAATATTATTTTTTAATGAATATACAACTAATGTTGAATAACTCTCATAATATACTGCCACTATTGTTTTATCTTTATTAAATATAATATCAGTGTCATCTTGATATACTAAATAATAATTATCTTGATATGACATTACACCCTTCCATTGTGATATAAATGAACTATGAGAACCGATTAGAAAATTGTCAGAATTTACAAAAAGTTTAGGACTGTAGTAATTATAATAATATGTTGATTTATGAACCAATTTATCATTTGCATCATTGTCATCATATGAAAAATTGTATAAATAGTAGATACCATGATGTCTCACAATCATTAATAAATCATTATTTGTAATAAAATACCCATCATCATATTCATCATATTCATCATATTCAATATATTCATCATATTCAGCATTAATTACGAAATCAATGTATTTTTTTTTTGTAAAGTCAAGAAATTCTAAAAAGTCAATTCAAATGATTTAAAAAATATTTTATAATTTAGTTATTATAATAATAAAATACATATATCAATTAATTAATAATTTCTTACTATAATATCCTGAATATCCAAAAATATGAAATTTATTATATAAAATTATATATTTGTCATAAACATCTTTTATATAAATACCAACAGAATCTCCTTTTTCAAGATAATCATCTCCAAAATGATTTTTGGAATACTTAAAATAATTATTCTTATCCAGCTGGATAATTCCATTCTCAAGATCAATTGTCCATCCAACAATAGATAAATCTTTCCTACTGTGAGTTACTAAAAACTTTAAATTAGGACTATATTTTATTTGATCAATATCACACCCATTATGTGGACTAATTATATGTTGTTGTTGATCATTCGTATCATTTGTATTTAAATTAGAATTATGATTATCTTCTTTCATAATTGATATTTTATCTTCTGTTACTACTTCTATAATGTCAATGTTATTGTCATCATCTGAGTTAAAGTTATTATTTTCTTCCATTTTTTAGTAATAATAAATAAATAAAAACTTTTCCAACGTGCGTATGAAAAAAGTTGTTTTTTTTTTTTTAAAAAAAATTTCGAAGAAAATAGGATTATATTCGTCCGTTCGGATTTTTATAATAGTAATAGATGAAAAAATTATATCCGAATTCGTCCGCTCTTGATTTTTAAAAAATGCAGTCATCATATCTGTGATTGATTAGAGCACCTTTATATAGTAATCTGTATTTTTTTTTATATATTTTAAAAAGCGATAATGATTTTGTTGATTTAGAGTTCTATCCGTAATACCAACATTATTCGTAATACAACTTGTTTATTTACTATTGATAGTAACTTAAACTTTATTACAACAACCCAACCTACTTGAAATTTGTTTTTCTCTCATTTGCTTTTTAGCTACAATTGACCAAAATTTTTTTTTGTTAATAATAATGACAATGATGACAATAATAATGGTGATGACAATAATAGCATTAACAGTAGTGTCAATATAATGAATTGTGGTGGTGCTGGTGGCTATGAGCAACTACCACAAGCCCTCCATCTATTCATATGCACTAGCATGTATATTAAAAACACTCACAAAGGATAATAAATCGGGATATGAGAGCATTGGTTTGAAGAATATATTAATTTTAGGTAAAAATTCTTTTGCAATTAGACTAGCATAACAATGTTGATCTTACCTCATATAACCATCTCTATTGATGAGAATATATTTGCCAAGGGCAAGCATGTATAGCATTGAGTAGAGCAAGCTCTCTTGGAAAACACAAACATCCTGAAATTTTGTTTTTTCTCAAATAAAATGTTCAAAAAGTACTTTGATTGAGTATAAGGGATTGGGAATGTAATTCAACATAATTTGAGAGATAATGCACTGCCCCTGCTTAATACAATGTCTTGCTATATATTCCAACTTGTTTCAACTTTAAGATGATTTATGATGAGAAGAGAAAAATTACAACTTTTATATATTATGTATATAATTAAATTATGAGGTCCTTATTATATACATCATTATTTTCTTCTTTGATGTATTGCAAAAATATTACTTAATAGTTTATTAAGGAATAAGTTAATATTTTCAAATATTTCTGTGATAATATCCAAAGGTGATGTTAGAACTTTCCAAATTTCCAATATGATAATTTTCTAGGAGTAATGATATCCACAGATATTAATATTTATTTCAAAATCAATTCGTCATCTATTCATTGCTCAAAAAATACATTCGTTGGATTTCCAAATAATCCATTGGATTGAAGGGATTACCAATAATTTTGATAGCTCGTAATGACAATAATAATATAATAATGACAATTCGCATTAATATTAGATAATTAAAGTGAGCATAACTTTCTTCAGAATCTATAGAATCATCTGATAATCCTTGTTCATTTACTATTTCCGAAAATAAATTCTCATTCATTAATTCGTAAACTCATTCTAATGGATCATAATTGAATTATTATCATCATCATCATTGTAATCTCTACGATCTTCCAATTCATATCCTCATCCATTTTATCATTGTCTTCCAAAAAAAAATTATTTTCTAAATCCATATTGCGAATTGTTATCATGATCATTGTTATTATTGTTAACCTTTTCTGACCAGTTCTTTCTTAGATAAAAAGAATTAATATTATTTACAGAAGATTTTGACAATTCCTCCCATAAAGTCTCACTAAATATAAAAAATGCGTTCACATCCACCACTATATGGAACAAGTGAGAATAATTTAACTGCTAATTGTTGTAGTTGGAGAAGAATTGGTGAATTAGAATTTGACAGCATGAATTTTATTTTTTTAATAATTAGTTTTTTTATTGTTAATTTCGTCATTTTCGTCACTTTCGTCAAATTCCTTAAAGTGCAGAAATCCTATTTCGTCACCAGATTTTAGATTTTCAATCGGATTTTTAAACCGGATATATGCATTCACATCTGGATTTTTTGAAGTATTGAAATCTAAATAATTAGGATAAATTAGAATTTAGTAATGTGTCATAAAAGTTTTAGTTATGTCCTGCAGCAATATTTTTCATATTAATTAAAATCAGTTTAGAAAGGCATGAACATGTTTTTTTTGGTTCATATTAGAGTTAGAAAAATTGATTTTATGTTTCAAAAAATAATAATTTAATGCTTAAAATTTTATGGACTTGTATTTATAACTAAAACCCATTCAATAATGATTTGTTATAAGTTTTATTCAAGTGAATTTTAATATTAATATTAATTATTTCTCAGTTCCCGAATGATTTTTTCATGAGTCTTATTTTATTTATTATTTAGTTAACGTGAATTTTATTTATGTTCCAACACTCGTCAAATACGCAGTTTTTGCCTATTCTGGCATGCGGCAAAGGTTTAATTTCTATAAACTTGCAGAGAAGAGGAGAGAATAGATGAGGGAGAGGAGGACGTGGTATATAGTTCATTTATATAGGTGATTTTTTATCTGTGAAAACTGTCTACTTTTTTTTCCGTAACCACAAATTACATTTTAAAATTTAAATAAATAAATAATTAACACGTATTAGAAATGACAGAATTTCACACGTGTCTAATTAATTGATTATTAATTAACACGAAGAAATTTGTTATTTGCCATGTCATGACTTCCTTCCAAAATCTTTAAGGTGTTTTATTTCTTAATAATTTCCAAGTGAGTGAGTGAGTGAGTGAACGAGAAGGAAAAAACTTGTTTTTCAAACCTATCTACGTAATTTTATTTTTCGATGCGCCACACTTTTTTTTTTATTGAATAAATATTGCAGGTTGTGAAAATAAATAATGTGTAAAAACAGAAGATGGTATTTTATTTTTGAAAAGTAATGAATGACTTGTCTTTATTGGTTATTAAATAGAAATACAATTTTTCTATGCATCTGTACGACCTCATTATTACCATTGCTGACAAATGCGCGCTCATTACATTTTAAACTCGTGATCTATAAAAACCTGCTTTCTTTTTTCCCACAGCCACAGAGATTAATTTTATCATCATTATCAATTACCATTATTATCTACATTTTTGTGCGCAGACATTAAAAATCACTGGATAAGAAGCTGATAGAATGCATTAGAAAATATCCTTTTCGGTGTAGCGGTGTTGGGGAACGTTGGTAGACCTATGATGATAATACGATTGGCTAATTTGAATATATTGATATATAAGTGATTGAGTCATGCGTTTTTATAATATTAGAACATCATCGATTTGAAAATTTGGCACTCGGCACAGCGTTTGATGTCTTTGTACTATTACGTGACGAATTCAGAAGCACAAATGAAAATCTCAATGTCTCTAAACTTGATTCTTTATATCTAATATTAGAAGGATCTGCCAAAAGTCCGAGTTTGTAAAAAAGGAAAAACTATATTAATATATAATGGATACTTTTTTGATCATTCTATGAGCGAATCCGTAAATCAACCGATAATCATCGCAAATAAAAAATGATAACAGTTAATATGAATTGAATGTCTATTACTATAATAATATTGCTAAAAATTTTCCGAAAGAAACCATTTTTATAAAAAGAAAAATATCCTAATCACAAATTATTTAACCGACTGAACCGAAGGTTTGGTAGTGCCAATGATAATGATAATGATTTATTATTCCATTTTTTGCTATTGATTTTTCTATATTGGTATATTACGTCTTATTTTTGTTTGATGTTATTTATAAAGAATCTAATTTTAGCAAATCCTTTCACGCATTGCCTCTTTAGAACTCTAAGGTTGTTAGTTATAAATATACTTGTAATTCTACCAACTAAAAAAATGAAAAAAAAATGCTTGACTTAATCAACAAGCAAGAACTCGAAAAATCATGGGTCTTTCATCTTCGACGGTGTTTCGTAGTTGCATCATTTTTATTGATAATTTTTTTCGTTGCGTTGTTGTTTCTCAAGTTAACTCAAGAACATCCGGCTGTGATCGGCACCCTTTCAACAATTGCGAGTCTACCTGTTCCAGGTAAAATAATTTTTCGCCTAAAAATCCAATGACATGTTTTCTAATATCAAAACCACGGATCAATGCAGACATCCATTTCACCCATGATCAAATAAATAGAATCGATTGTGCCATCATCAATGCGCGTAAGAAATATTTTAATTACTTTCATAATGGATTGTTTTATTTCAACATATCTGACTCAAAATGTTTCAAATAAGGCGGTTGTAACGACTATGTTATACACTCAGATAATACTAATAACACTTACAAGTTTTTACCGAAGGAAATAGATTTGCTTCCTAATGGTAATAGTATTATACTTAGTATACACGTCGATGAACCAACTTCTCCAGGTCATTTCGTATCCGTGAATGCATTTGATGCAGGTAAATTTTTTCATAAAATTGGGAATCTCGATTATGCTGTATTTGCTATTTTGATAATAGCTATAAATTACAATAAATAAATAGAATATGATCCATGGCTTTATGGTTCAGTTCCTAAAAATGAAAACGAGACACCATTTGTCAAATCACTCGAATATATGAACCAATATTTTTTATCAGGAGATCTTGTATGTGTGCTTGAGAAAGGAGATAGATAAATTTGCAAATTGGAAATATGTTAATAATTATTATTATTAAAAAATAGGATTATCGTTTAACGTATTCTAGAAAAGTCAGAAAAACAATAGCTAATTCAAATTTAAATTTGATCGGTCTTGGTTTCAGTCACGGTCTCTGGACAAATTACAATACACAAGTTTATATTGAGTCAAAAATGCGTAAGAATATTTTATCATGTGCACATGTTAATCTCTTTAAATATTGATATTGTTTGTGTTAATGATTAATCGCCACAGATGTTTTCCCAAAGAATTTGACGACCGACTCGAATCTTTTGATAAAATTGGAGCTTTCCCCACAAAGCTTTATTCTAGAAGAGTATCGGGAGCAAAGGTACATTGAGTGCATCCAAACTACTATTATTTTATTATGTCCTTATTAATATGTTCTCGTTTTACAAATGATAATATATAATAGGAGTAATACTGTAAGTCTTTTCAAAAAACAAACATAATATTACAAAATAGTGATTATTTATCATTTGGGTATATATAGGTTATATCCATACTAGGAACTATTTTTGGCTATTGTAGTGCCATGATGTCTCTTTATTCATTTGCATTTAGTAAGTTGTCTTTTTTTTAAAAAAGTTAAACTATCGTGTATTTATTTATAATTTACTCGCTTATTTTAAAAATTCTTAGGATCAGATGAAATTACTCCAGAGGGTTTAGTAGAGTTCAAATGCCGGGGGTTCAAAAAGAAAACTAACGATATACAGACTTTTATTTTAAATACATCATCCGTTTCCATTGCCTCTTTGGAGTAGAAATAAGAATTATCCAAAGAAAGAGCAGATGAATTCACCGAAATATCCTTTATTTTAATTGTTTTTTTATTTTATTTTTATTTTTTTATTTTCGTCTTATTAAGATTAAAGGATCGACTATATATTAATTTCTGAAAATTTCTTTTTAATTTGAATTTTAATTAAATAATATTTTATCATAAACCAAAATAACAGCATTCGTTTCATCAATTTAAAATGTTTAATGACATGATTTTGTTAATAAAGTTTGATGTATGGTAAGGATACCGGCTGCAACTTTTGATGATGGTTGCTACCATCTTTGCGTCATATAAAACCGCTGGTTGCAACCACCTTTACGACCATTTTGTTTCCTTTTTTGGATTGCGACATGGAACACTAATGTATGGGGGGTTTACAGCAAAAACTGGTCACGATCAAAAAAATTTTTTCGAGAAAATGTCGAAACAATTTTGGCTCTTAAAATTTGTTAAAAAATTTAAATTTTTAGTCTCTATACTGTTTCGAAATTTCTATACCGTTTTGAAACTCCGAAAGTATTTTGAAACTTCCTGTTGTTTTTGAAATTCCGAAATTTCTATACTGTTTTCGAAACTCTGAAATTACTACGCTGTTTCGAAATTTCGAAACTATTTTGAAACCCCGAAACTAATTGTTTTCGAAACTTCGAAATTTTTATACCATTTCGAAACTCCCATACTGTTTTCAAAACTCCAAACTATTTCGGAGTTCCTATACTGTTTTCGAAATCATGAGTATAAAATTCGCAAATTTCAAACACAAGTCAATTTTCACATTAATCAATTTATTTTATAAAAATACTATTCACATAAAATATCATATCACCTAAGTAATGAATTTTTTTCTATTACAACATTGAGGCGAGATAACTTCTTTAAAAAAATATTATTATTATGGATAAAGCTACGAAACGGGCTGGGCTAACCCGAAAGTTTTCGGGTCGGGTTGATTGGGACCGAACCGAAAAACCCGAACCCGAAAACCTTTTGGACTGTACAGCTCGAGTCATCTAAAATCGACCAATTTTGTGCGGTATTTTTGAAGCCTATCGCATGGACACATAGAGCACTTTTGGATTCAAACACTTCATAGTTTTATATAGTAAATGCCAAAGAATAATTCTATGAAAAGTTTTGGGTTGAACAATTATAATTAAAAAGTCATGGCAGTTTTAATTTGAATTTGCCACGTCACACATTGTAAATAATTGATAAAGGACGAAACATTAACAAGCTTGCCATTTGTTCATTGAGTATGCTACCACTTACAAAAAGGCAGAAACATTTGAAAAATTTGTCTCTAAGAAAAAAAGACTTTTCGAAAGTTGTTCTTCATAACAATGAGAATGAAAATGAAAATGAAGATAATGAAGATAATGAATCAAGTAACGAATCCACATTTAATTTTCTTTAAATATAAAACAAGTTTGTTCTTAATTGATTATTTTCATAAAATTTATCTAAATGTGGGAGGAAGTAAAAAACTTTGCAACAAAGAATATTACTTAAAAACATTAAATAAAAAAGTCAAATCAAAGTATATTCCAACAGGATATCATACCCAGCAACCACCATCTTCTAATAAGTGTGAAAATAATTATGACCAAGATGCAATAATGTTAATATGTGGTCATGCATTCTACAAATACTGTTATAAAATGAAAAAAAATCAATGTATCTATTGCTTGGAGTTTTATAAAGAAGGTATAATTTCCAACATAACTTCTTACATAAAAAGATTAGAAAAAGAAATTTTGAATGAGTTATTGAATGAAGTAGAAGAATCCTGCATAACAGGAGATGGAGATGAAGAGGTGAAGGAAGATATAACTGAAGAACAAATAATAGCTTTAGACTTTAAAATGCTTTTGATTTAATTAAAGATTGGTAAATTTCAAAATAAAAAAAAATATTTAAATTCAAATAAATTGTAGACTTTACTCCAAATTTTAGTTCACATCTAATTTTGATCTAGTGATGATCTGAATGATCTTAACCAAAGACAAAAATAACGAATATTTTCATTCAAAAAAAATATATATTCCACATATACGCCTTTTTTCTATTTTAAAACAATTGAAAATTAATTATTACACTGCATAAATTATTGAATTTCGCATTTGTCGCATTTGATATCTGCTATGGTGATGATCATGATCGACAAAACTTTTTTAATAATCTACTAAAATAGAAATAAATGAATACATGCGGAAATTAAAATTATTTGTTGTTGTATTAGTTTTTCCATTTTTCTTTCAATGATTTAAATGCTTTAATTTATTATCAACTGGTTTATTTTGAAACTTGGAAAATTTTGTTACTTGCACACATTCGGATAAATAATCTATCAATTGTTGGTTTATTACTTACTGTATTGATATATTTTTAGTGTTTTGTTACTCGCAAAAATTTGGACAAATAATCTATCAATTGTTTGTTTATTGATTTATTGATTTATTTTAGAAACTTGGAAAAGTTTGTTACTCGCAAACATTTGGACAAATAACCTATCAATTGTTTGTTTATTGATTTATTTGAAACTTGGCAAAAGTTGTTACTCGGAAACGTTTGTACAAATAATCCATCAATCTGCTGTGGCGAGGTCCGCTGTGACGAGGTTTGACTGTATGCATTGCAATATTTTGAAATTGTATTAATTGTACGACAATTTATAGGAAATTTTTTAGTTTGTGATACATTCATTTTATTTTACAATGAGATGTGTTCAGTATATATACGTAGGTTCTTTTTTTATTTGAAATCGTAATAATTGAAATCAAGTTGATAAATATTACTTTATAAAGTAAACAAACGCATAATTTTTGCAACACTGATTATACCTGTCTCTTTAGACTTTTCGGTTATTAATATAAACTCTTATTTTCTCCTCATTATAAATGCATTCTACTATTCACATTAAAAATAATAAAAACCAATCGACGATCAAAGAAATGCATGACAAAAAACGAAAAAACCCATTGGTTGTTTATTTTCGACTGTGTTTTGTAGTTACATCATTTTCATTGCTGGTTTTTTTCGTAATGTTGTCATTTCTAAAGCTAGCTAAAGAACAGCCTGCTATGATTAGCACCCTTTCAACAATTACAAGCTTACCTGTTCCAGGTAAAGTAATTTTTTTGAGTTAGACATCCCAAGATCAAATGACATGTTCTCTAATATCAAAACCACAAAATCAATGCAGATATTTATTTAGCCTATAACGGAACATTTACAATCACTTGTACTAAAGGTTCCAGCAGTGTTGGTAAGAAGTGTTTCAATTGCTTTAATAATTGATTGTTTTATTTCAACATATCTATCTGACTCAAAATGTTTCAAAAGA